AGGCTGATGGTCCTCTATAAACAATAGGGACAATCAGGACCCTAACATTTTATTGTTAGGCTGATGGTCCTCTATAAACAATAGGGACAATCAGGACCCTAACATTTTATTGTTAGGCTGATGGTCCTCTAAACAATAGGGACAATCAGGGCCCTAACATTTTATTGTTAGGCTGATGGTCCTCTATAAACAATTGGGACAATCAGGGCCCTAACATTTTATTGTTAGGCTGATGGTCCTCTAAACAATAGGGACAATCAGGGCCCTAACATTTTATTGTTAGGCTGATGGTCCTCTAAACAATAGGGACAATCAGGGCCCTAACATTTTATTGTTAGGCTGATGGTCCTCCTCTGCATGTGAACAAACCGTTTTGTCATCATTAAACATGTTTCTTCACCATGTAGAGGCATTGCTTAGAAGGCTGAGTTTACCTGAAACACCTCAGACTGAGGAAGAGATGAAACATTTCAACAAAGAGAACTCTGTCCAGAGGACGTACTCAAGTTTTGTCAGATTTCACCTCTCATTTATTTATTTAATTTAAGTTTGAACTCACAAAGTGTCCTTTTAAATCTGCCGTCTACGAGTGAAGTCCGGTACAAGACGCTTGCTGCCGTCGTCGTCTAACATTCAGGAATTCTGGATGTTAGCTTCCTGTAGGTCTTTTACATTTCCTGTATACTTTTTTCTTTAAAACATTTGAAGCTGGACTCTTGAAGGTTACTGTTTTTGTTTTTTGCTTCTCTCCTTAAACATTTTAATTTCCTGTTATGGTGTTGAACTGCTTAATTGACACTTTTAACTCCACCTACGACCTATTCAAACAGTATCACAACTTTGTGTCGTGAAACACTAAGAATTTCCTTTCAGAATAAAAGTGTTTGTTGAACAAGGTGTGTGTTTTATTCTGTCACTTTCTGTTTACAAACATAATGTAGTTCAGACTCAGACCAGCAGGGGGCAGCAAACATTCAGCTTATCTGAACCTGATACCAACAGGATTACTTCASTAATACTATGTGGTTTGTTCAAAGATAAGCAGTACTAGTTAACTTTGGATTATCCATCCAGTACTAGTTTAACACAAATTATCTGCAGTACTAGTTGACTCCAGATTATTTTTCTACTTTAAAATACTGTATATTCATTTCATTAAAAAAAGACATTTCACACAATAAAAACAATACAAATAAAACAAAATAAAAGGCAGCAGAAGAAGAAAAAAATCTATATCTTTTCCTTTTAAAAAATTATTTCAAACAGTGATGAACCAAAATCAAAAAAATTCAAACACCTCAAATGGTAACTAATGCAAATTAAACAATTTCATATTTCTTCAATTCTTCCTTAATCGTTTTCTTAAAGGAATTTATCGATCCAGTTTACATTCATTTTCCAGATCATTCCAGTCTAGTTCTAGTCTTATACTTTTACTGAACTGCATCCGTCCTCAAATCTGTTCTAATTTTCAGTTTAACAAACATTTGTAATCCCTTCAAATTATAGCATCTTTTTCTCTTTACAAAGTGTGACTGGATGTTTGTAACATTTCTGTGAGCCTGTATTTAACCTGTGGAGTTATAATCAACCAACTCATGACACTTTAACAACTTTAACTGATGAAACAATAGAAGGTGATAGTTATACTTTATTCTGATCATTCTTATGGCTCTTTTTTTGTAAAATAAAAATAGGATTAGTAATTGTTTTACATGTATTTCCCCAGACTTCTATACAATAAATCAAATGTGGAACAATTATTACATTATATGGTGTAAATAGTGCTTTATCCTTAAATAACTCCTTAACTTTATACAGCACTGCAATAGATTTGACCATTTTTGTTCTTAAGAAATTTATATGATGTCTCCATGTCAGGTTTTATCAATGACTCCCAGAAACTTCATTAACTCTACAGATCTCAACAAGCTCTACTCTAAACGGAACAATTGTTTTCTTTCTATTACTGAATATCATGTAATTAGTTTTATCCACATTTAATGATAATTTATCATGTTTAAACCAATTCTGTACTTTTACAAATTCCATTTCCAATATCTGTTCTTTTTTTTTACCATGGCAAAAAATGTCTGATTATCTGTAGGATTAGTTAACCTCAGATTATCTGTAGGATTAGTTAACCTCAGATTATCTGTAGGATTAGTTAACCACAGATTATCTGTAGTATTAGTTAACCTCAGATTATCTGTAGTACTAGTTAACCTCAGATTATCTGTAGTATTAGTTAACCTCAGATTATCTGTAGTATTAGTTAACCTCAGATT